ACTTTTTTCTCATTTGAATCCAATCGGTTTTTTTTAATCATCAAAACCAAATGTTTAAATCCATACATCATAACTGATCTGAACTAAATGTCTCTGGTTAGATTGAGGAAGCGTCGACATACTATGACATATACTTGAATTTTAACTTCTAACGTACGATCATGTGGGTAATTTTCTTAATTCGCAGTAAAAATGTCGAATAATGAGTTGCCTTAAGAAAATTAAGCTCATTTAATACTTCAGAGTCGTTTTACTAGCAGAACCCATCTAATAACTAAATTTAATATTAAAGCGTGTATATTATGCATATGCGTGTGTCTAACAACCCCATTGACTTAGCGAGTACCACAATTCACAAGTCCTGCAGCATGACAAATACATGTTAATGCAGAAACCTAAATAACCGACGGCAGCTTCATTAAAATTGCTTAAGGTCAGTATTTGACAGTAACGAACAAGAACCAGCTTAATTTGCTCGGCCACAGCCTCATAACAAGTCGCGATGATCACTGAACAAATAACTTAACAGGGCAAAAACCAAATACACGGACTGTGGGGTAAAGAGGTTGGAAGAATGATTATAAATGGATTTTTAATTACGCTGATGTTAGCATATTTACAGGCGCCAACGCATACAACCGAGCAGTCAGATAAAATAAACATGAATGTGTGCGAAATTATGTGCCCTGCAGGAAACTGGAAAGACAAATGATTAGTTCTAAATATAGATTATCTTAAATTGACATCGAGCGACATATTTTTGACTACTTCGTACCAAATAGAAACTATAGAAATAGGAACCGCTTGATTAGGTTAGGATTGTCTAGGGCATCACACTGATCACGAAGAAGAGAAAGACCATGAATTATATTACTACTCGCCACTTTAAAATGAAACGCCTCCGCAAACAACTGCATTTCCCGACAGGGTATGTCTATGCGCGTACTTTTAAATCGAAAACTGTGGGCGCAATACTTGTAAAGCTCGTATTACGCGTTGGTCATTATATATAGAATTAATTGGTGGGGAAAACTGATTATTTGATGCTGGAAATCATGTATTTCTGAGCAATGAAAATTCCAACATGAAAATTTCGTTGTTTGCCTAATACGACAGTGGATTCGTAGAGATTTTATGCGGTATTTACACAAAAGCTCTTAGCCGACTCAGACGGGAGACTAAACAGGTCAGTGTGTTTGCTCGGCATTAAAATTAAATTAAAGCGTTAAATGGAAAAGTCTTTGGCTTGATAATTAAGTTTCAAATTGAAGCATAACTTATACAAGTATGCTACAGCTGGTATTAATTTTTAACAGCTGCTGTATTTGTGGTGGCAAGGAGATAGGATGTTTGAACTTCAGGGAGAAATTTGAAGACATTTTTAGTAGCATCTACTTATACAAAATTTAAGAGCATCAGTTTTTCCTCTATAATTATGTGAGAAGCTGACTTAATTTTGAAATAAGAGTTTTCTAAATTTGTTTCTTTATTTTCTTTGGAATTCTAGTTATAAATAAATATTAAGAATTATGAAGCTTTATATTTGGAAACATACGGTACCCGATTTTGAGACCTATTTTGGTTTGAAAATATTAAGTAGTCGATCATATTGTGTGATACCATACAGTGTTGGAAAGGTGATATTTAAAGCTTTATTTAACCAAAAAAAAAAAATTAAATTAAGGGAAGTTGAAAAAAAGTTAGTTTTTCAAAAATTAGTGAAAATAATTGAGAAATTCGCTGTATTTTGAAATTTTTGTATAAAAAGGGAAAGAAAGCTAAGCAAGCAACCAATGAAATTTGTGAAATTTACGGAGACCTTATCAGTTCGTGTAGCACAACAATGGTTCGTTCGATGCACGTCGCTATGTTCGATCTAAGTTAAAAAAGTGTTAAAAAAGTCGATGAAGTTATAGAAAAGATTGACCAGGACCGTCACATAAGCAACTGTGACATCGCTAAGGAACTTAACTTTCATCATAAAGTAGAAACTCAACGAATGGTCGAAAAGCCAGGATTGACGCCTCGAAAGGTTATGCCGACTATTTGGTGGGACTGGAATGGAATCATTCACTATGAGCTGCTTCGGCCTGGTCGAGCGATTGATTCTACATTTTACTGCCAACAACTGATGAGAAAAAATCGAAAAAAATAGCCAGAATAGACCAACACAAAGGACTTCGTCTGTGATGACTTGGCAAAAACTGGAAAAGCTTGGCTGGGAAGTTTTTATGCATCCACCATATAGCCCTGACCTTGCACCATCTAACTACCATTTGTTTCGGTCCATATAGAGCTCCCTTAATAGAGTAAAGTTGGCTTCAAGAGAAGCATGTGAAAATTTCTCTCTCAGAGTTTTTCTAGGAGAAACTAGAAAAGTTTTACACTGATGGAATAATGTCTCTAGCGGAAAAATGGCAAAAAATCGTCTACTATGGTGTAAAATATATATATGGTACAAAATATATTTGGCTCAATAAAGTTCATTATAAATATAAAAATTATAAGTTGAAGTTCCATTATCTGTATTTAATTGTTGGCTCTGAAATGTTTTTAGATTCTGCATATGCATGATAACGACTAAAGACAACCGTAATTACAACAGAGTTAGAGGCACTAGTACCTCCCCTGTATTAAAAGAACGTAAAGGTGCCAAATCCACGTCCGTTGGACGTTCTTGTAGTGGCCGTCAACATGGAAGTTGCCCTAGAGAGCCTGCACCATACAGCGTCACCCTCGGCTGAACAGGACCTAGTTGATGTGCAAGTCAAGAACAGCGAAGGAGCGGAACAGCCTGCAGACTATTCGGAAGAGGCATCCACAGGACCCCAGAAGCTGTGAACAACCTGATGAAATACTGCAGACGACACAAGCTGACCCTGTTCCTCGGCTGCAACACACGAAGTGAGTCTCTCTTAGAGTATATCCGTACTAACAACTTAAATATCGAAAATGTGGGTTGTGAATCCACTTACGTTACAATAAGTAGAAGGGAGAGCCAATGAATAGAATGATCTCACAATGGAGGGTGTCATCACAGCCTTCCTTTTCGATAGGTTCGCGCCAGAAGTAGAAGACAAGGGAGCGTCAGCCTAATAAAAGTGCTGCAGCTTCAGGACTGGAACGCACGATATGAGTCTTTCTTAGAGTGTATTATTACCAGCAATTTATAGTATATATCGAAAATGTGGGTTGTGAACCTACCCCATGGAGAGTGTTATCAAAGCACAACATGTCATAATATGTTCTTGTTGTTGTAACGGCAAAAATTCTGCCGAGTTGACAGTCCTTGGCCGGATAAAAATCCGGGTCCGTTCCGGTTTTCGTAGACCCGACTGTCGTGGGAACGTCATATCATGATATCATAATGCTAGCTGTAGGACCTGAACCCTTCATTGCGGTGGGTCCGGAGTAGTAGGAGTAGTCAGATTTAAATATGCAATCAACCTCCCAAGGGTCAAACTGAGGCTATTTGTCGCATTATGGAACATGGGTGTATCTTTTTGTGCAAATTGTTGGTTCTGCGACAGGCTCCAAATATTCAAATCATATTACCAATAATTAAATTACTTTATAGAAATAGAAAACTTTCCGTATTTTTCATTTCTTCAAAAGTAAGTCATTTATTTATTAATGTTTTGCCTTGACACATTAATTATTTTATGCACTATCAACTAAAAATTTTGTATTTTTCTTTTATTATCCCGAACAACCTCGGCAGCCACAATGCACACATTCAACAATTCGTCCTTCCTCTAATTTCGATTTTGGTACGCGGCATATGCAATTTGTACCGAAATTTGTATCACGAGTTTGTATGCAACGCAAACAGCATAAATTCTCATATCCTGATTTTTTCCATTTTGCAATTAAATTTGCATCTGCTATTTTCTCTTTTAAACAGTAATCATACAGCTCCCGGCTGATAGCTTTACGCCTATAAAACAAATCGTAGATGTATCGAGACTTTTGATGATGTATTTTGAAGATGGGCCATAATGATTCTGTAATACGTTTTCCTTCATGCGGTTCCGTCTCAGCTAAGAATAATTAAAATTAAATTAATTAATATATTTGAGATTATGTTAAACAATAAAAAAATATACCTTCACGCATTTTTTGCTCCAATTCTTCCAGCGTCGGTTCGATCAACTCCCAGCCATCTGGAGGAGGCTTGCGGCTTCTACGTACTTTCGGCATTTTCAATCTTATGTATTTGGTAGCTTTACGATTTAGTTTTATCTCTGCATTAATAAATTTTCGATATTATTTCAATATTTGACACGATAGTCTAAAACTGAATGCAGTGCGAAACGAAATAACAACGAAATTAACAGCTGTTTCTAGACACCGTGCAGTTGCCACATGGTTGCATTTATATTTACATATTTGCAACTGTTCCCAGCTGAATTTCATTATGTACAGCTCAGCAAGTCATGGCTACCTAAACTCCGATATATTGAAAGAATTATAGCATAAGCTAACTTTTACTTTCGGTTAAAATTATGTATTGGGTGATAAGGAATTCATAGAAACTTTAACAGAAATCTCTATTATCTTTTTATTAAATAATAACTGAAAGGAAAACAATTACATGGAATTAAAAATGTTTTGTTACTTGAGCGACAAAAATATTGAAACTATTGATTTTATATAGGATTAAATAAATTGTTGGTAGACACTGCTTTTTGTTTTTAACCGCGATATCTATAAGTTGTGTTGTATTTTTGCAAAGTACATGAGTATTAGTTAAGTAACTGGTCATCGAGGGGTTATTATTTGTTACATTTTTTCTTTTTATTCCTATCTTTTATTAAAATGTATTTGTGAATTCGTTATACCTCTTGTAAGGTTGGGTTATTTTTATTCTGGACGTCAAATATTATTGGCAATCCTGATTTTGTTTATTGAGAACAGTTAATTAAGACCGCAACCAGAATTGTGACAGCAGTGCGCCAACAAAAACAATATACATTTTTAAAATGTCAACAATTGTTTAAAGATAAGAGTAAATTATCTGCTTTATTTTGTTTTCGGTTGAATATAATTTGTTTGAATAAGCTTATTTTTCGTAAATAAATGATTTATCTCCAAATCCATGGAGTCCAATGAGATAATGGATAGGTGATGGCAAAAAAAGTTAGTAATATACAGGAATATGTCAAAGAATATACAACTGATTTGTCGAGTCTGTCTGAGGAAATGTAAAAGCAGACATGTTTCACTACTAGAAGTTTTTCCAATAAATGCGGAACAGGCATCTGTAACATATGCCGAGGCTTACAAGAATTGTACACAATTGGAAGTTGAAATTGGCGTGGATGGCTTGCCCGAGTGGCTGTGTAATAGCTGTAGTCGTGAGTTAAACCTAAGGCAATGCGCCATATTTTATAGATAATAACTAATAATATAATATTTTCAGGAGATCTTCAATATTCCTATGATTTTTGGATTAAAGCAAAGAAAAGTGCTGACACACTTCTTACTCAGATAAGAGCGCAAAACGAAGAAAATGCTCGCCGGGTACCATCACCATCCGAATTTGAGTTACCTGATAGTGGAGCGCTGGGTTATGCTCTCGCTGATGGCGATATAATTGATGCATGCAGTACGCAAGTGATGAAATGTGACAAAGATCCGCTGGAGGAGTCTGACAGTGACAATGTTAGTACACACGGTGTTAAAAAGCTGTGCCTTTAAACAAAAACAATATTTACAAATTTTATTACCTTTAAGGAAGTAATAGCCGGAATTGCAACAACTATAAACAAGTTAGAATCACCCACCTTATCTCAAACCTACTCTGATTTTATTTACGACAGCGAAGACGAGAAGCCTCTAAAATTACTTATGAGTAAGCATTTGGAATGTATATAATCATTAAACATATATTTAAACTATGAATTTCAGCTGGTAATCAAACTGAAGTTGGGAACGCCATTGAAAAAGATCAATGTTCATTCGATGAAGATGACGAGTTTATTGCTGAAGAAAATACAACTAAAGAGAAAATTGCCGATCCAATGTTTACGCCAGAAGCACACATTTTTCCAAAAGGTTGCAGTAATTATTAATTTTCCTACCTCTCCAGACAATTTAGGGAGCATGTGGAAAATATTAATTTATTTTTTTCTCATATTTTAGGGCGATTCAAATGTGCCATTTGTGAACAACGCTATTTTACTGCAGCTGGTCTGAAGGCACACATGGAAGTGCATCTAGCAAAAAGTGGCACAACAAAAAAGAAACGTGGAAGAAATAAACAACGTAAAGCTCCAAAAAAAGTTATCAACGATGAAGACTATGAAAATTCGAGTTTGAATCCAACTAACGCTGATGAAAAACATGCAAACGAAGAAGCAAAGGATCAAGAAGAACAGCACTCACCTGAAAAGTCACTTAAATCGAAAAAACCTAAACCAAAACGCATGTTTCCGTGTCATGTATGTGGTAAACATATGATATCGGCTTCCAAGCTGCGCTACCACATGGTCATGCACACTGGTGAAAAGGACTACCTCTGCACAATGTGCCGTAGGTTAAGTTTGCTTCTGACTTTATTTATGTACTAAACTCCATATATTACAGCAAAAGCATACTCGACAATTTATGCGCTTAAACACCATATACGTACGCATACTGGTGAACGGCCGTATGAGTGTAAGTTTTGCGGAGACCGTTTTCTGCGTCCAACTACGCTTAAAAGTCACCAGCGCCGTCACACAGGCGAACGTCCTTATGGCTGTGATATATGCGGTAAACGTTTCATACAGCACTCGTCGATGACTACACATATGAAGCTTAATCATATGGACAAAACTATACAATGTCCGCACTGTGATAAAAAATACGCACGTCAAACCGACTTGAATACGCATTTACTTAGTCACACTGGCGATAAACCGTATTCCTGTCAGTTGTGTCCCAGTCGCTTTGTGCGCCAAGCAAATCTCAATAAGCACATGAATCAACAGCATGCTGAAAAGGCTAGTGTATCCAAATTCTCGCAGCTAACTGACGTTACTTATGTTGCAGCATGTGGAAGTGTTGCTGTTGCAGGCAAATCGAAAGTTTGTACTGTGTATAAATTAACAGATAAAAGTATGCTAAGTGAAGCAGTGGCAAGTGATTTTGTGGATAAGTGTTACAATTTCAACAGGTAAGCCGTATGCTTCTTTAGTTTACATATACTTTGTTTTTGTAATTATTTGTTTCAAGCTCTGCTAATGCTGAAGATTCGTCAAAAGACCAGCCAATACATGCAACAGCTGAAAAAGATTTTGCTCAACTTGATAATGATTTAGTGCCCTGGAGTTGAGTTAATAATGCTTAATGGAGCGGTTAGGGTTTGAGGGTAAAAAATACTTTTTTTTTTGCGAATTAATATCTTTAATATGGATTGCGAATTTTTATTCGAACTTTTTGTACTTTATTGAGCATACTTTTGACAATATAGCGTAATTTTTTCATGCCGAAATATTAAAGCATAAGCCGGTAACAGAGCTTCCCCCCCAGACACAAATTTGAAATGAATCAGTCAAGTAGTTCTGAAATGATAGTGAACACGGACTTTGAAGAAAGCAACGAAAAAATACCCTAAATTGTCAAAATTGTATTCAATAATGTACCAAAGGTCCGAATAAAATTTTTTTTATTTTATTAAAGCTTACATAATAAACAAATTATTAAATAAACTAAAGTACGCAGCCGAATAAAATTATTCAATCCATATTTAAGAAATAAATTCGCAAAAAGTATTTTTTTAGCTTGAAACCCTTACCCACCCCTTAAAAAAGCTCACATATTTACATACATACATRTATATAATCTATTATTTATATCTTAAAAGATATAAGCACAAGAGTTCCTCAATATAGCAAACAGTATTACAATGAACAATTTTTTTTTATTGTTATTATTTGTTTTTATTTTACCTCTCAATACTTAAGGTTAATTTCTGTGAAAATATTTGTTATCCCCTTTCTGCCTTGTTCGCTTTATTTATTTATTTTAATTTGACAGATATTGAAGAGCCACTTTAGTACTATTCTTTTATTGATTATAATAAAAAATATATTAAAAATAAGCTCATATCTATATATGTAGGTACATATATATTAAATGTGTGATATATGAGCAATATTTTTAATGTAAGCATGTACACTTATACACATTTTCTTCCATATGTGCCCTTTAAAATATCTGCTGCTTCGACTAACTTTTGTTTGTGCTTAAAGTTGCGCAAAATGTGCAAATAGTTGATCTGGGTTTGTCGCTGGACATCATACTTTCGCATCGATGTTGACTGGTATAATTTGCACACGGTCTGTCGCTATTGCCTGTAACAGATTTTTCTTCATTTAGTTAAATTTTAGTATTTTAAAATGCCAAATCAAATTTTGTTGCATACCCGTCATTATAACGGCATCTAGATGCGCTATGTAACTCTTAGCCAGTCGCAATATTTCGATCTTTGATAATTTACGATCACCCGGTTCGGTCGGTATCAAGCTGCGCAGCGTTGTAAAGGCGGAATTAACACTAGAAATATTTCATAAACAAAATCAGTTGTATATTTAATGGAAATGTTGATTTTTTTATGAATATAATTTGATCTGCAAAAGCACGCGACATGTCCGAATAAATTCCCGATAATAGAACTTAAATAATACAAAATGGAATTCTTTGCCTTTAGTCGCATTGAAAAGAAATGTAAATTAAGGGATCGTCTCAGTGCGAAATTTTCGAGAAATCGATTTTTTTGTTGCATTATCGGATAGCATCATACACCGTAATAAACATACTCTCAAATTTTGAAATCGAACGCGAAACGTGTTTTTCTCAGAATGGTGTTATTCAAAGCGGTCTTCACTCTCAAAGGAAGAGTTTTGAAGTAATCTAGTTCCAATTTGGAGAAAACATTTTACCGATTTGTTAATATCAACACTAAAAAAAAACGCGAAAATCAGTAATTTGTCGGAGGGTCACAATATAGTTCCAATATATATCTGGAAGATTTTTATTTGGGACTAATTGTGTTCTAATCATATGTATTGAATTTCTATTGAACACATTTTTGGCGTTTGAAAATCTTATAATAGGCATATGAGAGGTAGTTGTAGTATTGACTTGATTTTTATCTATTTTCGGCTTTACTACATATTACTAACAGAAAGGGATACTGAGTTTCATTAAGGTGCATCGCATGCCATCATTTAATCCGTTTTCGGCACAAAAATACACTCTTATCAGTATCGAAATGTATGCTCTCTCAAATTCATTAAGATAACTGAATATATTGCTTGTTGTTGTAGCGGCAGAAAACATCAGTTAAGTAATAATAAATTATTATTATTAATAATAATGTAATTGGGCCTCCCATTAGGTGGCGTCGACGACGACTTAGATAATTCTTACCGTCATAGCGGGGATTAAATAACCGTTACAACAACAACATTCCTGAAGTAATTTCGCAAAATCGTGCGGAGTTGACAGTTCTTGGCCGGAAAAAAATCCGTTCCGTTCCATTCCAGTTACTTAGAATCAACCGTCGTGGTCGATATATACGGTGTAAAATCAACCGAAAGTTCAGAAATCTTTGCGTTAAGTACTTAGGGGCTAGGAGAACTATTGTGCCGATTTAACCCATTTTGTTATATAGACCTATTATTATCATAAAAGGATTTTCTCCGAATTTCAAAATTGTATCTCGCAGTTTGACCGATATATTCAATAAAAAGATGTTATGCGATTTTTACAATTTTTGGCTATTGGTAACGTTAAAGGCACTTTTTGTCTAGTTTTATCCTAAAAGGTATAATATTATATAAATTGGCCTGATTAGTATCAGATAGAAGTTGTTTTTTGTTGTTGTCTGATAGTTTCATTTATTACTTTCATATGGGCAGTGAGCGGGGTTTAATTAAAGGTACTAAAAAAAATTTCCCGAGAAAGTTTAGTTGATTTATTTTAAGTGGTTAGTGGGATATGTACATTAAACTTGTCAGGTGGCGAGGCCACGCGCACTTTTTCAAAGTCTTAACATAATATATGACCGATAAAATAGCCAAATACAACCAAAATTATTCAAGCCAAGCAAGTCAAATATTGGTCCATTTCTGAGATATTTTATTGTGATTCAGGAATAGTACTGCTCTAATATTAGTACGTCTGTATGTCGGAAATATTTTGAATCGGACCAATATTTCCATTAGCGCCCATATACCTAATATAAAGGTAATCGAACTTCGGGCCGACTTTGTACCGCAACTTTGAGCTATCTCAATGAAATTGAGAGAGAGAGAGTGTTTTACTCATAACAGTGATTTTTGGTGCCTAAAATAGATAAATTTTTAGCGAAAATTTAAGCCTAGCCCCTATATTTAATAGAATATCAGGATTTTCGAACATCCGGATGACTATTCTATATGATGGTTTTTTAGCATGTATGCCACGTTAATATTGATATTGAGAAAAATAAATAAAACCTGGTCGATACTACCCCAACTTCCATATACTAAAATCTGTCTGTCAGTATACATAGGAGTATTTTCGCTAGTTGGCGCTGAGAGCGCGTAGTTCTAGTTTTATTCGTCGCCTCGGGTCATGCTATACCTTTTTGGAAAGCTCATTTCACGCGGTAACACGTGTTTGTTTCAATTGTTTCTTTTAAGTCGTTCGTGAGTTATAGCGTCGCAAACATGGAGTAAAATAAAGAGAAAATACGGCATATTTTACAGTACTACTACGGTAAAGGCAAAAATGCATCTCAAGCCGCCAATAAAATTTGTGCAGTTTATGGACCCGATACAGTTTCCATTTCCACCGCACAACGATGGNCACGCTCCGGAAGGCCTGTCGTCGAAAATTGCGATAAAATCGCTGAATTGGTCGAAAGAGACCGGCATAGTAGCAGCCGTAGCATCGGTCGAGAGCTGGGCATGAGTCATCAAACCGTTATAAAATTAAAAAAAAAAATAATAAATAAAAAATACCTTTTTTGACAACCTAATATATAAAATTGATTGGATTTCGATCCTCATTTTGACGTTTTACCCCATAAAGTATTTCCTGGACTTGATTCTTGTTAGTTGCAAGATAAAATGTTCGGTTGCACCCGAACCTAGTGCTTCCTTACTTGTTTAATTTTCAATTTCATAAAAAAGTTATTACTTTTCCAACAGATATCCTTTCATAAACAACTTTGGTCGATATAATATTTAATATTTTTGCTTACATTCATTAACCTCAAACTATTTCATATGAATTACTCACTCATTGATATGTGTTTGAAAAAGAAATAATAAATTCCAACTGAAGTTATTTCGATCTCTTATTACTTCGTATAGCAGTTAATTAAATCAGTCATACAAAAAAAAAACAAAACAAACGAAAACAAAAAAAAAAAAAATGGGCAAATAGAAACGGTTTATCAAACTTTAGTTATTTATGATTTTTATATACATACATACATATGTACATATGTACATAAATACGAAACAACAAATTTTGAGGCAACGAATGATATTAAAGTATTTTACAAAAAGCTTATTCTGATCTGTGTTGATCAAATAAATGAAGATAATAGAAGCATAAATTTCTAAATAATTATGTTACTGGTAAAAAAAAAAGACTATATTTTGAAAAAATAACACTAATTATAATACTTATTATATTATATTTAAATTCTAAACAAATCAAAGCTTTTTTCACTCACAACCTTTGTGTACGGCTACGCTCCCGTGCATTTACTTCTTGTCGTGGCTTGCCCGATTCGCTGCCGTTGGACACATCCGAGTGCGCAGGACTAATGCTCTGCGGCTCACACAATATATCCAACATCAATGGATAGTTGTGCAATAACTCATAATCCATAATAGAATATAATAGTTTAAGAAGAATTACTATGATAATTTTTACAATTTTTAAGTATTGAGAAGCGACTTTTTTATTGAGCACAGTTTTTATTTATTAATTGATGAACTGTTTCAATTCAATTTATCAATACATTAAGTATATAGGTATATTATTTTGCACATAAATTGAACGGCTCTGTAAAATGTAACTTCCAGTTGAGTTAATTGACACTGCTGGACAATTGGTTGGCAACTAATTGTAGGCAAACGTTAGAAATGCGCGTCCGCTCGTCATGACGATGTTCTTTTCAATGTTTTCCACTTTCAACGAGCAGCCAGCCGGTCTTTAACGCTTACGAGTGTGCGCTTGTGTGTGCACATCATTTTTTAACCAATGAGTTAATGATCAACGCTGATCTCTTATTTCAGCAGCTTCCTTCTGCACCTCCCATCAAGCAGACGTCTTTATAGTTGTAGTGCCGTTAGTGTGCCGCTTAAAAAAATTAATAATTTGAGCAACAACAGTAGCGCTGGATATGCGAGTGAGATGCGGTGAGAGTACATTGGTGGCGCACTGTCTGTGAAATGAATTAAGTCGTTAGTGGCGACAAATTGACCATAAACCATGCATGTTTGTATGTAAGCGTATGTAATTATGTGCACAGCAACAACAATGCTGTTTACAGGGACATGCCTATGCACTTGTAGGAGTCTAAATATTTGACCACAACTAGAACGGCCTGTGAAAATTCTTTGTTCTGTGTTAAGGTTGTATTATCACATTTTCTTTTTCCTCTCTTCCGCGCTTCGACAGTTGCTTTGGCACTTATTTTGCGGATATGCGCACAGCAGGCTACCCGTCGCACTTCCTCACGCGATCACCAGAAACTGTGTAACATGCTTAACAGCAACAAGAACAACAGCTTGTATATCCACTTAAACCTTAATCGCTCATTTGCGCTCTTGATTTTCAATTATTACGCTAAATTAAATTGCGTTGCTTACTGTTACTCCCACATATTTGGTTCTATGTAGTGTTTGTGGCTCAAGCATTCCAGCATGCAGCAGCTTGTGTATCGCCATTAATTAAAAAAGAAGCGTATCTCTGATAAAGTGCTGATAAGCGCGCATAAATAAAGCATTTATTCCTTAATGAAGTGAGAATTGTTTTGTGGTGACGTCAACTTAGCTCTTTTATGACTTGGGTTGAGAGCGTGTTGATTTTCTTAAATTGCCCTGTCACAGTAGGGAGCGTGCCCTTTTGAAGTGGACATGGAAATGGTTTGTTTTGACATGTGTTTGCACTTGCTGAGAAGCATAGCGGTTGGTACTTTAACACTTGTATATTGTTGTCTTTTCGAAATTGCACAATCCATAACCATGTGTAACTAAAGGGTGATACATTTCAAGGTTCCCAACTTGAAAGAAAAAACAAGAAAAAACGTTAATTTCGGCTGCACCGAACCTAATATACCCTTCAGAGGTGCATTTCTTTTAGTAACTAAGTGTCCAGTTTGTATGGAAGCTATATGCTATAGTAATCCGAACTGAACAATTTTTTCGGAAATTATGTTATTACCTTAAGCAGTAATCCATGTCAAATTTCGTGAAGATATAACGCCAAATGTGAAAGTTTTCCATACAAGCATATGATTCCGATCGTTCAGTTTGTATGGCAGCTATATGCTATAGTTAACCGATCTAACCAATTTCTTCGCAAATTACATTACTGCCTTAGAAAATAATATATACTAAATTTCGTGAATATATCTTGTCAAATGTGAAAGTTTTCCATACAAGAACTTGATTCCGATCGTTCAGTTTGTATGGCAGCTATATGCTATAGTTAACCGATCTAACCAATTTCTTCGCAGATTACATTATTGCCTTAGAAAATAATATATACCAAATTTCGTGAATATATCTTGTCAAATGTGAAAGTTTTCCATACAAGCATATTATTCCGATCGTTCAGTTTGTATGGTAGCTATATGTTATAGTCGTCCGATATCGGCGGTTCCGACAAATGAGCAGCTTCCTGAAGAGAAAATTACTTACAAAATTTCAAAACGACTTAGCGACTAGATTGTATATATACAAACAGACGGACAGACGGACATGGCTAAATCGATTCAGCTCAATATACTGATCATTTATATATATATACTTTATAGGTATCCGACGCTTATTTCTGGGTGTTACAAACTTCGTGACAAACTAATATACTATGTTCAGGGTATAAAAAAAAAAGCACAGAAACTTCAAATTTGATGGGAAATGTGTATCATTCAAAAGAAGATTCCTTGGCATTTATTTTTTGAAGTATATTTCTTTCAAATGTTGGCCGCGTCTATGTCTCAGATGGTCCCACCGTTGAGTCGAATTTTCGACTGGTAAGTGGCGAATGATACGCGTGATGTTTTGCTCCAAAGCCTGAATCGAAGCGAGATTGTTCGCATAGACTTTACACTTTACTTATCCTCACAGGATTAGACTAACGCACTGTCGTTCCATACGTCAGTCCAAGTTGAGCCGCAGTCGCCGAATCGACTCTCCAAAATCTTATCTCTTCTCTTATCTGTCAAATTAATGATATTGAAAAAGTGCATCTAATTGGATCACCAGTAGGAACGAGTTTCAGTGGCGATTTGTGGCCAAAAATGAAACATGGATTCATGGAGTCTGATCGGTTGTCCAGCGAAGTTCGACCAAAGCGCCAGTCCTTGTATGGAGGAAAACTTTCTTTTTTGACAACATATCTTCACAAAATGCGGCAGAAATTACTGTCCAGCCCAGCGGCTAGGGTGTTTCTTTCCACCCGAACCAAAAGTTGGTTCTCCAAAGTATGAGTGCTGAATGTACTTATGCTTTGGGCCGCTGATCAACGCATTGTATTGATCCATGTGCTTCCAGCAATAGAAAGCGCCATGAGGTTAGGCCTTCGGAGGCAGGACTCATGTAAACCACAACGGACTCTGTCTAGCCCAGTGGAACTAAAATAACAAATAGCTACCATAGAAACTAACCGAACGGCGCACGTCTTGTTGGAAATAGAAATCGCCAGCATCAATTTCATTAAATTACGAGAAAAAAGTCAGTTAGCATAGTATTATAATGCTCACTATTGATGTTAACGGCGTTTCCTGCCTCATTTCGAAAGAAATAAGGCCCGATAATGCCGTCACACCACAACGCGCACAAAAGGTGAATTATTGTGGATGCAATTGCGATTCCTGACTCACCCCAACAGCGAGAGAAATTGGCTTCATCTGAAATAATAATTTTTCGATGTTGGAAATTTGTAAATTTTTCTGTTCAGTCTGTCAACTGACAACTCATCGTGACATCGTAAAGTTTGACATTTTGGATGTTATACATATTCAAAATGTTTTGGAATACAGCCGCTACTTATGTAGTTTACAGTAACTTGAAGTATTCACCTCGGCCAAAAATGGAATTTAATCATGAACATTTTTGCGCGATTTCGACGTTGATGAACTTAAATCAATTTTTAGCGATGAAACTTCATCAAGAACCAGTGTTTACCGATTTCGTATTCAATCGAAGTCGTAGATCACTTCAAGACAGATATCGTGAAGGTCGCCCAAAATCACTAATTGTGCCGGAAACTAATATATATGTAATGCTAAACTCAAACTAATATTGAGAGATAGTGGAACTAGCATACATTTAATATTGCATGAACATTTGATTGAATATTTCTTCCCATTGGGTCACGTACAAATTGTCGATCGTTCAAAAGGCTGGTGCCGATTGATCAGGAGAAGTGTTAAAAATCTATGAAATTGTGTCAGATGACGCACTGTTCGTCAGCGAAGTTTGTGCGTAGCACTTTCAAGCAAAAATGTGCCTGCTTTTTGAAACAGCTGGACATGTCGCCACTATACCACAAGAACCACACAGAACAGTAAATTCTGAGTGAAAACCAACCGCCGAAGACAGATCACTCTTTGTCACGATAACGCGAGCTCTCAAACATCGACTGAAATAAGTGCATTTTTGAGCACTCACACCTGCAATTTAATGACTTATCCACCGTAAAGTACTGGTTTAGAACCGAATGGCTCCTTTTTATTCCCTTCAGTAAAGGTAAACTAATAGGTCAACGTTTTTTTATTATATTATTATAAGGCCTCCAACTTTTCCTTCTAGGAGTAACAACTTTGTGACAAACTTAATGAAGCCTTTTCAGCGCATCCACAACAATATAAGTGTACGAGCAAAGCGGTGGCACATACAGTATTTTATTCGTGATTGCGACGATTTTCACTATCGGGTGATTCATTTGTTTCTGTACTCACGCAGCATGCTGCACCAAGCATAAGTAATAAATTTTTGTTGCACCAAAGGCAAGTAGTAAATCTTCGAATTTGCTCTAATTTTAAAAAATAATATACAAGTATTAACGATTGATTTTTAGTGCCGAAAATTCAAGGAATTGTTTTAATTTTTCTTTCAGCTTCATATACCGATGATGTGTGTGTGTGTCCCAGTTTCTCAACTATCGATCGGTGAGATGATATCTTAATAAAAGTATATAGTAAGAAACTTAACCTCAGCAGACGTTTCATAAGCTATAAGACAAAAATTGAATTAATAAATAAAAATACTAGTAAATAGTTGCGCCTATCATTAGAGACCAAAAAATTTCAATAAAAAACGCATAAAGTAAAGAAATTATTTTATTTCCAAAAAATATGTGCTAAAAGTGAGTATAATGAAACATAAATTATTTTATAAAAAATCATAACTCAAAATTACCACCACATTATTGTGAAAGAGATTTCAAAATACCAAAGACGGCCTTTTCCTGTAGTTTTACAAAAAATTTAGTCTGGTCACCCCAGCCACGCTGGAAAAATTTTTTGTGCTGATCACAAATTCCTAATTTCTACCAGGCACCCATAAACGTGCAGTAGGCAGCTGCCACAAAATAATTCAAATTCCTGTAGCCTATCCGAAAGGCGCTAATGTTAACTGCCTTACCGGCAGCTGCAGGACTGCCGGAAGTAAAGGATGCTGCGACGTTTATGCGAATAACTTCTATAATTCAAAACCGATTGCGACCAATGAGGCACCGAATTAAAGGACAAGTGTGCAGCAATTCAATAAGCTGCTATTCAATGTTAACGAATCACAAATAAAATAAATATCAACAATGAAATAGTGACAGAACTCTATGACGAAAATTACTAATATTACATTTGTTAAACAAGATGAAATGTTCTTCATGCCGCTAATCCATTGTGATACGCTTTATAAGTAAAATCTGTTACCACACAACATTTCATGTCACCAAAATTCTGCACCAGTGTACTTTTTTTATCTAAATACTGCAAGCTGAATTACCATGTGTGTGTATTATATGAGAGCAAGTACTTTATACTAATACCTGCTTAAGGCATCAACCTGTCGTTTGCCGCAAGAATCTTCAAAATCGGTTGGCATTAACCAAAGTTATAGCGAATTCAACGATTGCACTGCTATATCCGCCATTTACAGGAGTTGCGTGCGCCTTTGGGGTATGCTACAAAATGTTATTTATTTTTTGCAGCAGCGACCTGCTGGGCATTTATGGTCGCCTGGTGAAATGTGATGTTTATGAAATTGTCGAAAAACGCAGACACGTGCTGGTAGAGTGACCAGAAGTTATTTTTTAGCAATTTCGGCAAATCTTAACCGATTTTGAAGGTTTTGGTGTCAAACGAACGGGAATTGTGTGGTGTTGAATAAAATGGAGAAAATTTG